TAAAATTATAGCTGATTAAAGTGTGTTTGAAGACAACCTGCTCTTTATATGTGTGTGTGTGTGTGTGTGTGTGTGTGATTCACCTCTCATAGGTTTATGGAGAAAGATAGTGTGGATGGGGATTATCTCTGAAATGGTGTTAAAATACCTGTGTATATATGGAGATTTAAAATTTGTTTTAAAATGAAAACACAGTATGGATGTAGCCCAATATGATGCAACTGCAATGTCACATTTCGATTTAGGCCCGCCACCCTCCCTCCACCCTCAGAGCATAATCTTGAGAGAACAATTACAGTCCTCTCTCAGGTATTTGTGTCTTCTCAACAAGCTGGTCACAGGTCAGAGAAATGACTGGCTTTCAGTTCACCTACGGGTCTCCAACTTCTCACCACTCCAATTCCGAGAACTCCGTGAGTCACACATCCACCATCCTATTCCCGAACCCTGATGTTTCTGCCCCACCGGGTGCCAGAGAGATTCCCGGTTAGTAGCTTGTTATGTTGAAGTTTAAGAAACTAAGGCTGAAGTCAGCTTCCTGCAGGATGTAGTTAAGACACAGAACAAACAGTGGAGCACTGACTAGAAGGATGGAGAGCCGGAAGGTGGAAAAATGACTGAGTGAAAGCAGATACACAAAAAGAAGCACATTTCTATTCCTACTGTATGTGTTTATGAGAGTATTTGTTTTTTAATTATCTTATTAAAACTGTATGTCAACTAATGTCAGTGGCTGAGGCACATTTCCCTTTCCCTCTGTGGACAAGAGCCCAAAACAGAAAGGAAAGAAACACTCTATCGGTTTGTGTTACCATGTGATTTTGGTATTTTTCAGATTCAAAGCCAGACTACACGGACAAAAACTGTCATTTTTACCTCGCTGAACACCGAAGCTGCTGGTCAACCACTGCTTAAATCAATTAGTTTGTTTGTGTTACTGTGTGGCTTTGGCGAATCCGAACTAAAAACCAAACTTAAAACATAAAAAAAAACAAAAAACGTCTGGCTTTGAGGAGAAATAAGTTTCACTTCTAGTTCATCGTTCCTGTCAGAGTTGGCTGTCTGCTTGGGAAGCACTGAGCAAACCACTAGTAAATGAGACTCGGATTATACTTCACAAGTTGTGTGAGAGTTTGTAAACGTATGTTTTGATATAGTTTTCCTGTCGTCAAACGTGGACCCCTATCACTTCAATTCATCAAAAATGTTCTCAGTTTTTGGATTCTTCACTCACCAGAGGCATGCGAGAAGAACAAAGTTTACTTCACAAATTCAGTGTAACATGGGGGGAGTAACCAATATACAAATGGTCATTTGAGGGGTTATAGGAGTTCCTTTAAGTGCAGCTTTGATGCACTTGTACTCTACATGAGCATCTTCATTTTTTGCTACCTCATGCTACATTTAAAAGGGATATATTGTACTTTTTACTCCTTAAAATTTTGACAGTAGTCACTTTGAATATCAAGATTAAACAAAAACTAGTACATGCAGATACACCAAGGTCATGAATCCCCTCTGTCCATCCCTTTCACTAACCTGGTCATATATGTTTATATGTTTATGTTTAACTGTGTAGAATCGAAGAAAAGTGACGTAGGCTTTTAATGTATAACTGCAACAACTGATTAAACTTTTTTTTGCCAAACACCAGCAAAAGCTAGAACTAAAGCAAGAAAAAAAAGATATATCTGATGTCTTATTGTGGGTCAGTCAGTTTTCCTCGCCCTCATCTGTCAAGAACACATCTGTTTTTGTTTTACCATCTGATCTGCAGTTTATACCTGAACAATGAGGAACTGTTCCAGTCAGGGAACTTGGGTTCACTGTGTTCCTGCAGCAACTCCTCCACAATGTTCACAGTCAAAGTCACTCTTTGTTTAGAGCCATTTATCTTGTGCCTGTCTGTTCTTACGGCCAACATGTGTGAGTCTCCACTTTGTCAATGGGTTTCTTTGTTTAACATCAGTCACTGTGTTCAGGCAAGTTGCCACATTGTGCTGTATTTTTAGGCCCTGACGATATTGCATTTTACTGGGTACTCGTGAAGTCATCTTGATTGTGTCATTTTTTTGGTTGATTGTTACTCTGTTCTCGGTATGTGAACTGGTTGGCCAACAAATTGCGAGAATCAGCTAAGAAAAATAACTTCACTTTTCTCACCTCCTGGCACTGCAGTAGGGATGAGTCACCTTGTCTCAGAGGAAGACGGTATTTAATCCATTCATTCATTCATTCATTCTGATGGCTTTTGAACGTCTATTAATAGACGTCTATTAATAATACAATAAGCCCTATACAGTATTACAAACGTTAGTGCTATAAAAATTCAGATTTTATTGTCGACCATACACATGACTATCACAGAGCAGGATAGGTTCAGTTATTTAACTGAATTCAGTAATTCCAGCCATACTGGACTTGTCTAGGATCTTTGTTTTTGATTTCATTAAATGCCCAGCATGCTTTTCAACTGCTGGGCTGAAACCCTCCAGAGAGGATTATTTTTAGGGACTTATTTTCTGCACCACGAAGTGCTCAGTATAAACTACATTTAGACCTTGGTTCCGCCATCTTTTGCTGCAAAACAACTTTTGAAAATGTAGCCCTTGAGATAAAATCCTAAAGTATGCAGTTGTCCTGAATACAGCATGGGTGATTTATCTTTTAACACTTTCAAGGGTCCTTCTTCCTCCCTTCTTTTTAATGTTCAGTATCAAACACAGAAAAACAAGAAATAAATGAAAGCAACCCTAATGTATGTAAGTTCATAATGATACAGACTTTATATTTTGTCTGAAATCTTCCCCCTTGAATAGCACTGAAGAGAAAACTAAATAAAGTAAGGTCATGTAGAGTATTGGAGAAGTCAGGCTGAAACCATCACCAACACAGAGCGGATATGTTCCAGTGAGAAATAAACTTAGTCATCCAACAGAAACCCTTTGTTTCTTTGTTGCACCCACAAAAGAAGCACCAAATCCCATGTGAAGGGGTGTGTCCTGTGTAGTGATACATTTTGATGTCAAATATGAGTAATCATATTACATTAAAGTTATTGTGGAAAAAAATAAAATAAAAATCATCCACAAATTAAAAGAAGCACTAAATCCCATATGAAGAGGTGTGTCCTGGGGATCACCAACATCAAGAATCCAGTGAAAGATTCATAAAGCCTTCTTTAGTTGATATGAGGAAATTATGATTATACTATAGGATACTTTGAGCAGACTTTCCCTTTAAATTTCTCATAAACTGGGCAGTTAAACTACATGAAAATTAACACAAACATGGTTAGGGCCATCCTTAACAAGAATCCATTGACAGATTTATATAATCTGTGAAGTTTTTTTCCCCCCTTTCAATATTTTTGTAAATGACGGCTCACTTCACACAGTCATCCCTTTAACGTGATGGGAGGTAAGGCTCTTTCAAAGATTCGGCTTTTTTGGCTCGGCTCCCTAACTGTACATTCACAGCAAAAGCTGCCAGAGCTGCACAATAGTAGAATTTGCTCAAGCAGCGCCGCTGGTAAAATATTTGTGGCAGCGAAAGCAGCTCAAGTTGCTCATGACGTCAAATTCTGAACGTTCGATTATGCTTCTCAATTTAAAAGAGCCGCAAAGCAGGTTACTGGCTGGAGCACAGAAATGTGACTGTGCATTTGCCTGAGTACAGAAACTTTCACATTTGGACGATGAAAACAGAATAAAAAGTCTAAATAGGTCTGACATTAAACATTAAACACACACAGCCTGTGTTGCGTTCAGGCGTTGTCACGTAAATAACAAATTCCAGCACTTGAATAGGCCGTAGCACAACACAGCAGCATGTCAAGTGGGCCAAACCCGAAATGAATACGAGCAAAATTTTTTGATTTGATATTCCCCCCCAAAGCTGTAAACCTAGGGGAAACACTGTCAATGGTTTTGGTTCTAGTGCGATTAGTTAAACTGGTGGTAAGGAGAGCAAATTAATTGCATTCCTGCTAATAACAAGCGTTCCAGAACACAAAGAAAATGTATAAGTAAGTGCGCTTGTCCACATTTGTGTAACGATTGAACATGGAAGAAGACACTCTTGTAATTTGTGCTGCCGTGTGGTACCTGCATGGATGTAACCGCTGTCGGGTCTGGGTTCACGATATCCTCCGGGGCCGTGAACAGCACAGGGAATATCATCGGCTGGTGCAGGAGCTGCGGCTGGATGGGGAGAAGTTCCAGCGCTACTTCAGGCTGAACTAGATCAGTTTGACAGCTTGCTGCTTGTTTTGAAGTAGGAACGAATGTGTGGTAGGAACTAAAAGTTTCCTAGGATGTTCTCTGGGTTCCACACAAGCGATGGACATCTACATTCCAATTGGTTGCTGGTCATTTGCCGCTCAAACAATTTGCATAAAGTTAACCAGTCTTCAACTTTCATTTGCAGCTCAATTCGCCAAACCGCCGCAGCTCAAAACACCTCTAGTCACCACATGTCCATTGAAAATGAATTAGACCTGTCGCCTTTGCAGCTCTGGCAGCTTTTGGTGTGAACGTACAGTAAGAAGAGCCGGGGCTCCAAAACAGCTCCCAAATGGCTCTTCATTTAGTATCACTCAGAGCCTTCTATTTTAGCTCATTCAGTGTTTTCAAAAAAGCCTTATTGTTATGCATTTTTTCATTACAAAATAAATAGATAGTTACTTTTCTTTAACATTTTAATCAAACCTTTAAATGAACAACAGAACACAGAACCACATAAACCACAGCAGATGCTGCTTCTTTTTCGGTTTTCGCTCATGTCTTAACTTCTTCTCAATGCGCTTGCATTTAAATCCAGCTCACCCGTCTCTCTGTCACACTGTATGTACCTGGCCTGTCCCACTATACTCGCTGTCCCTTAACTTCTTTCACATAATGATCCTAGTCTGTCCTTGCATGTGATTGGCCGCATCGTGTGCCCATCAAAATAAAGTCCGCTCCTGCCTGCATGGATTCTCAGCTGAGTTGTACAGGAGCCGAAGATTCGGCTCTCCCTGACGGGAGTCGGCTCTTAGAGCCGGTTCGTTCGCATACGAGACGACACACACGACTCACAGCATATCGTCATTGGTTTACAGTCTGTAGCAGAATCTTCCAGCTCGGACGGGACTCAACGATGGATGGAAGCTTGTTTATCTTGTATTCTTAACGATACGCAAATGTAGGCGCTATATCGTAGGCAACTGGACTTGCTTGCGTTGGACGCAATGTTTCTCCAAGAGCTCCACTATGCTTTTATTGGTGTCAATACTGATCCTGAGCACCGCAACAGAAGGTAGGCCAAGCTAAATGCTATCTTTTGACTCCTCTTCTCATACAACCAGGCTACATTTAGCCTACTGTCAGTGTACGTTGTCGAGGGAGCAGCCTACACAAATAGAAAAAAAATGTGGAGTTCACTACATTACAACAGTAAAATACACATCAGACGTGAAGACAGAAATGGTTTGCGACGTTGCACATAGAAAGGATTAATGAAACATCTCCTTGGCAGACATTACACAAGGTTGGACCAGTTTGAAAACAGATGGGGTGTGACGTTAGTTACATCTACTGTGAAAGAGGGAACAAAGAGATAGGTTGTCTTTCTTCTAACAGTTACCTGACAATATGTGTATCAGGTGTTGTCACATGGTTATCACTGGGAACAAAGGATGACGCCACTCAGACTTTGAATTAGAAAAGCAATGTGTTAATCAAGCTAACTAAAAACTATCAGATGTAAATGCGAGGGACAGTAGAGTACAGTATGGTTTGGTAGCTTAATGTGCGGATTAGTCGGTAAATATTAGTTTAGCAAACTCCATTTTCTCCCAAAGACACGTGTTCTCAGCTTTCCCCTCCCCTTTATTCCCCCAAGCTATACCTGTATACAAATGATTACCCAAAATACTGACTCTGCATGTTACCCTATCCAATGTCATGTTTGAAAAGCATCTACATAACAAACTTCGGCTCAGCTTTGTGTGATGCAGGCACATGTTCAGAGGTTTCTAAAATGCAAACACACAAAACCGTGTGATACTGGAAGGTACGGAAGCCATTTCTGCCAGCGTGATTATAATACAATGGATCCTGTAAATTATTATAACGAGCAGCTTTCTAGAAGTGAAGAGTTACTATCTCAAAATCAATGAGTTACCTTAAAATGATGACTTAGTATCTCAAAATAATGATGAGTGATGTCCAGTCATCAACTTTTCACTGTCTGTCAGGGTGTTTTTATACACACTACTGCTCAAAAGTTTGGGATCACTTGCAAATTTCTTTGTTTTCCAAAGAAACACATTTTCATGCACTTCACAAAACATTTTTTTCCATTTCACAAACAATTAAAATGAATCGGATGATTTTTAAAGAGTGATCTATTTCATTAGGTTAATTGATTATTAGAAAACCCTTTCGCAATTGTGTTGCACAGCTGAAAACCTGTACTAATAAGAGAGCAAAAAAGGGAGCATGGCATCCTTTAGGCTAGTTTAGTATCTGAAGTATCAGCAGTTGTTTGTTTACAGGCTCAAAATGGCCAGAAAGAGAGAACTTCTTTTAGAGATCTGACTTACCATGCTGTTAACTACTCCCTTTAGACAGCAGCACCAACTGGCCCTAACAAGGTCAGGAAAAGGGCGTGGGCACAAATGTGCAAGAAGACATATCTGAATGTGTAGTCCAAGACAATGACGCCTCACAGATCCTCAACTAGCAGCTGCACTAAATAGAACCCATCAAACACCAGTGTCGGCATCAACAGCAAACTTCGGGAAGCTGGACTTCATGGCAGAATTGCCAAGAAAAAGCCACATCTCAGACTGGCCAATAAAAAGAAAAGACTCTGATGGGCAAAAGAGCACAGACATTAGACACTGGATGACTGGAAGAAGGTGTTGTGGACAGATGAGGCCAAGTTTATGGTCTTTCGGATCAAACAGAATAACGATTGTGAGACGCAGAACAAGTGAAAAGATGCAAGGACAGTGCTTAATGCCATCAGTCAAGCATGGTGGAGGCAGCGTGACGGTCTGGGGGTGCTTTGGAGGTGGTACAGAGTGGAAAGGACCTTGAGGAAGGAAAGCTATCACAAGAATTTTGCAAAGCCATGCCATACCCTGTGGACAGCACTTGATTGGGGCCAGTTTCATCCTACAACAGGATAATGACCCAAAACACATCTCCAAAATGTGTCAGCAATATTTAAAGAATAAGTAGTAAGCCAGAATTCTGACTGTAATGAAGTGGCCAGCACAGTCTCTGGCTCTCAACCCTGTTGACCTGTTGTGGGAGCAGCTTGACCATATGGTACGGAGGAAATTCCATTAAGCCAATCCATCTTGTGGGAGATGCTCCAGGAAGCGTGGGGTGAAATCTCATCAGATTACCTTGATAGCTAGAATGCCGAAGGTCTGCCAAGCTGTAATTGCCGCAAAAGGTGTTTTTTTTTTTTTTTTTTTTTGATGAAGGCAAAGTTTGAAGTACACATTCATCATTTCCATTAATTATTATTATAATTATTTCAACTCTCATCCAACTCGTGTCCTGTTCAGTTGCATTTCCAAGTTAGTCCAAACCTTTGAGCGGTAGTGTATAGTCCTTTTTAAACAAACAGTACTCAGTCCTCTTAAAGTGCACCAAAACGTGGACCAACAGAAAAGGGACTTGGTTCTTCTTGCGTTGACATCGTCGGTTCATTTCAAAGAGGACTCAGTTCTCTTTCTGTTCAACTTCAGCTCTGATGGGGCCTCAGTTTTCTTCCTGTTCACACTGTAGCCTATATATAATATTGATATAGTTTTGTTTTACGTTGATGTGGCACTGCAGTCCAGCTGTGAAGCATCTCACTTTCAGATGAACCTAAAATTGGAGAACAACCTTAGCATTTATGTGCTGTAGACTGTTGCCATTTAATGTATTCTACTTCCACATTGGCAGTATCGTCCGCGGACCAAACTACTCCTTGTCCTGCAACCTTGCAAGTGTTACAGGCCGACGTGGTTTTGTCTGTTTTTCAAGCGGTTCACTTACACTGTATCTTGTGAACACAAAGCACGCTTTTCTCTTTGCCATTGTATTTAGCCCTCTAGATCACATGCTTTTGCACTGGGACGGCTGCAAAAACAGTCAAAACCCTGTCGGCTTGTAACACTTGCAAGGATGCAGAACAAGGAGTATTTTGGTCCATGGAAGATACTGCACGTCTCCAGATGTGAAAGTAGAATGTATCAAATGGCAACAGTCTACAGCACACAGAAACACTGAGGTTTTACTCCAGTGAAACTGTAAGGGAGAGGCTTCATAACCACACTGCAGTCAGTGTGGTTATGAAGCATGTCAAAAATATATATAGGCTATATTGTAAACAGGAAGAGGACTGAGGCCCCATGAGAGCTGAAGTGGACCTTAAAGGGGAACTAATGTTTTTTTTTCTACCTGGGCTCTATTTTCCGATCTACTTTTGTCTAAATGAGTGATAGGATGTTCAATATGTGACATTTCTCCAGTACGAAGCTCGGACTGACCTGCCTGCAGCCCGTGAGCGTGCGCTATATTAAACAATAGGGCACTGGGACAGCGACAAACAACATCAAAATACGTCCACTAAAAGTGCATTTTTTTCACACAGATAGGCTCGGATTGTTAGTGTAATTATCCAACAACATAACGGAAAGGAGAAATGAACATCTGTCTTTACCTTTAGCTGAAATCGGACATATTTGTTGTGGCAAGTCAAAACACTTCCTCTGCCTGCTCCCTCTCTTCTCATCCCTCTTCAATGAGCTCTGCGTCCGTGTACATCTGTGTACTCCGTGTTCAAATAAATACGGGTGGTCATCAAATTCAAATGGCTCGTCCAGATCCAGTTGGTCAAAATCGGGTAAAAATTTAGCCATGACTACTCCAAACAGTCGCAGTCGTATTTATTTGGGTAGGAAACGGAGTCCTCTTTCAAATGAACTGACAATGTGAACACAAAAAGAACCGAGTCCCTTTTCTGTCGGTCCACTTTTTGGTGCACTTTTACAGGAATGAGTTTGGTTCATTTAAAAAGGACTAAATGTAAAAACACCCTTAAAGTGCACCAAAAAGTGGACCACTTCAGCTCTACTGGGGCCTCTGTCCTCTTTCTGTTCACACTGTAGCCTATATATAATACACTGACATAATTTTGTTTTTAATTGACGTGGCACCGCAGTGCGGTTATGAAGCCCCTCACCTTCAGATGAATTAAAAAATGGAGGAAAACATCAACGTTACTGTGCTGTCAACTGTTGCCATGTGATGTATTCTACATGCCACATCTGGAGATGTGCAGTATCTTCTGTGGACCAAACTACTCACCATCCTGCATCCTTGCAATAGTTTCAGGCTGACGTGGGATTTTTTTCAAGCATCTCAGTGCAAAAGCATGTGATCTAGAGGGCTAAATACAACAGCAAAGAGCAAAGCAAACCTGGAGCACTTTGTGTTCACAATGCACAGGTTAAGCGAACCGCACTGCAGACTGGGCTCTCTTGGAGTGTTCACATATGCGCAAAAAATGCTGAGTAACCACTCAAGTCTGCTTAGAGGGTTGATAAGGACCAAGTGTGAAAACACCCTCTGTCTCTCCTTAGCTCCATGACCAGGGTTTAAATCTCACCCGCAGCAAAAGATGACACATCATAAATGACAGACAAATGCAGTATGAGACTGTTTGTTAATGTTATTTAAAAGTTATAAAGTTATGAGCACCTGTTTCATTTCAGCTCAGTGAGAGAGTATCTTGCATTCTGTATTTCAGAATCAGAAATATTTTATTGATCCCCGAGTGGAAATTATGATTCGTTACAGTCCCTCTGATGTAAAGAATAGAGCATTATAAGAAGTAAAAATAAGATTATGAAATAGAGGTATGTAAATATAAAGCAATACAATTAAATGAAGTTAGATTAGAATAGAAATGAAATACGGTGGGCCGAAGCCGCGATTCCTTGTACTTAAACGATCCCTATCGGGGGAGGACCCAGATTTTTGACAACTTCTTAAGTTTTCAATAAATCAAAAGAAAATTGTTGCCAGCGGTACTTCTTGCATATTTTTGTAGATCGGTAACTTTATCACGTTACCTTTTTTCCGGCAAACAGAGCAGACAGCTACGTTCGGGGTCCGACATGCGTGACGTGATTGTAGTTATCGTCCAATGGGACGCTTGGAAAAAAGAAAAAAAACCTTGGAAAAATGGCGCTGCATGTAGAGCCAAACATACATGGCCTAATAAGTCTCTTTTATGTCTTAAATACT